ACAGGCCGTCACGAGTTTATATGGGTGGAGTTACCTGGGCTCTGAGGAATAAATTATCGAACTGATGCAGCAGCAGCAACGGACATGTTGATGGATGGGTGGATGGAGGAATGAATGAATGAACGAACGAACGAACGAACGAACGAACGAACGAACGAATGAATGAATGAATGAATGAATGAATGAATGAATGAATGAATGATGAATTGATAAATGAATGATGAATAGATGAATGAATGATAAATAGATGAATGGATAAAAAAATGAATAAATAAATGAATTAACGAACGAATGAATGTAAGAATAAATAGACGAATGTATGAGTAAATAAATGAATGAAATAACGATTACACAAGTGAGCGAACGAATAAAAAAAATGAATGAAGGATTAAGCAAATGATTGAGTGAATGAATGAACAAAAGTTTGTCGTATTAATGAAGATTTTTCTGATATGTTCTGATATATTTTCCCGAAAATGTATCAATTTAGGTTAATAACTAACGCCATTAAAAACATAATATATATATATATATATATATATATATATATATATACTATATATATAGAGATTTTATAGATTTCATGACATTGTTTAGTTCAATGTTTTAAATTAGGATTTGCCTTTGACGCCCACACACACACTACACACACACACACACACACACACACACAAATACACAATAATACACACACACACACACACTCACATACAATTACTGCTTAAACAAATTTCCAGTTTTTCATGTTTGTTTTATATTTCACAGTTTTGAGATGAAGAGAAAAGTATAGTATGTCGTGTGTTTTGTTTACTCACACACATGTGTCACATGTGTGTGCTTGTCTTATGTGTTTGTAAGTGCGTGGTGTGTGTGTTATCAACTGATTAACACTCAAGTGTTTCAAATTTATGAATGATAGATTGAGTAAAGCAATAAAATAATAATTATTATTATGATAATGATAATTATTATTTTTGCAATTATAGTAACACAAAAAGGTGAAGTATTTTTAAAATAAAGAAGTGTTCTGGAAGGAATAATTCAATCGTGTTTTATTTTCAGTCAAAATGTTATTTTACATTCGATTGGGCCATTAGTAGAAAGTGATTTACACTTTTAAAACCGTATAAACAAACAACTTAATCAAAAATACTCAACGAACAAGTGAGTTTATGGGTTGAAAAGTTTTACATTGTGGGGGTGTTTCAGCCCGAAAACCCTCTTCCAGGCTAGGCCCCTGGCGCTGTCCATGGGTGGACGTCAGGGAGAAAAGTTTTCCCGCCTTTAATTTGGTGAACAAATAAATTATTTTTTGAATAAAAAATTTGCTATTGATCCATGAACTGATTTTTTTAAACTAATTATAACGACGAATGTTTTAAAAATATTAGATAAACTAACAAAAACACTATATTTTATCGACAATCGAAGAATTTTATATGTTAAAATTAAAATCATCATTATTCTTTATAAGCCGTATAGTTGCTCTAGCAAAAAACAGCAAACCAGCTAAAATATGCATTTCTATATCAGTTAATGATAACAAAAACGACATTTATTCCTTTCGTATTGATGTTATTCAAAATAATAATGTACACGTTGATAATTTAAATAAACTTTTGTGTTTTTGTCTATGTATATATGTGTGTGTGTGTACATATGTGTGTGTACATGTTGCGTGTGTAAGTGCACAACGGAGTTACATTTATGTTTTCCCAATGCACATTAGCATTTTCCATTTTTTATGTCGTACGTTTTTTTTGTCATTTTTTAAGTGGCTGGTTAATATAGTTATATAAAGTCAGTTCACAATTGTAGAATATTATTGATTATATTGTATTTAAACGTTTAATGAAAATTGTTTTTGTGTGTAATACAAGTTGAGACCTATAAAAAAAAACTAGATGTGTAGCACGTTCAACAATACAACAAGCGTTTAATAACATTAGCTGCAACAAAAAATCAACACAACTACACGAAACTACACAATGTATTTTCACAAAAACGTCGACACAAGACGTCGAGGAAGTAACGTCAATCGTCTGGCCACACCTGCTGCTGTCGCTTCTACAGCAACTGACAACGACGACAACAACAATCAAAACATCAACAGTACCAATAACATCAACGTGAATCTTAATACAACCCATATCTCCAACGACAGACGATTCAAAATCAACAAAAATTGCAATAATATCATGAATAATATCAATTCTATTGACAATAATAATGCAGATGATAAAAATATTTGGTTAGAACTTATAGATTTTTGTATTAATTCATTCATTTAATGGCTTATGCAATGCGGATATTGACATCAACACACACACGCACACACACACATGCACACGCACACACACACACATTCTAGGCAATCCATCTTAAAAGAGGTGAGACTGGGCACCAATTTTCGGAAACTGAATGAAACCAACCTCATTATGATTGGTTGGTTCATGTTGACTACGTGATATACTAAAGTTTTTGGAAGAATAAAATGAATTACTGAATAAATCGGTTAATGAAAGAATGATTAGAACGACAATAATAGTAATAACAGTAACAACAACAACATCAACAGCAATAATAATAATAATAATAGAATTAACAAAAAGTAATTTTTTATTTTTGTAGGTTCGGAGGGGGCAGGCAAGTCCACCCTCTCCAGAAGCTTCGGACTGACATCTGAAAAGTTAAGCGGACTGCAACTCAAATTCGGATTCGTCAACAAGTGGGATGATGAAAAATATTTCCAGGACCGTAAGTTACCCCTTCGTTGTTTTTCGACGGTGGTAATTTCACACACACACACACCACACACTCACACAAACACACACTCACACAAACACACACAAACACACACACAATAAATGTGAGAATGCTCTAAAATGAACGCATCAAACACACTGATGCATGATTGGCAGAAACTTATTAGCATTCGAACCCGGTAAAGTGGCTGTAACTCAAGACCAGGCGCTTGTAACAATTCCGTCATCACTCCACTCAACCTCGTCACTTTTGATAATGAACTTATAAATGGACGGGTGGTTTGTCATGTAAATAAATGTTTCTTTTTTGTTCTTATTTGTGTTTTTATTCATTTTATTCCATTGTCTTTATAATATCTTTATAATACTTTATGAACATGTTCATCAAGTGAACAGTTCAAAACTGAGCATCTGGAGCATAACCGGAAGCAGTAGTGACGGAGAGTATTGCGACATCACGTGGCAGTTGAAGCAGATTCTCACGCCATCAAACTTGGAGTGTTCTATCGTCTTATTGGTTGAACCGATGGACCAATCGCGTAACATGATTCGAAATTTTGAACATTACGTTCAATGTCTGGTCGGTCATCTGTCTAAACTGGACGTTGATCATGAAATAACTAGGAAGAAGTGTTAGTAAGATTTGTCCGAGTCTGAAGTTTCTGGCGTTTTAATTTTTTACTCGTGTTGTTATTTTCTTCTGTTTTTTTAAGAGTTGTATATGAAATGTTCTGACCATTCCATACTGCTATTCTTGGCTTCCGTACAACACAATCACTTCTAATGAAAATCATTCTTAGTTATTAATTTCATACATTTCTATGATATTTTTATTAACATCATTTCCTTCTCTAGCCAACATCATCATCATGAAACATCTCATCATCATCATTTTATCATCATCATTATTATTTCAAAAATCGAACTAAATTTTAAAAAGTTGAAGCAGTCTACAGAGCCTTGCACTCTAGGGATTCGAACCCGCACCCGTCGAGTGAGTGCAACTGTGGTAGAGTGTCCGTCAGCAAGTACCTCAACGTTCCCATCATCACGGTGGTCACTAAAGTGAGTTTATAATAACTGCACTCTGTTGGATGGTATAACGAGATGGTGTAATCGTTAAGGCGCACGGTCCTTATGCCTGCTGTAACTGGGTTCGAATGCAAGTAGATCCCACCCACTTATCACGTGCAATTTGTGATAAGCTGTGTGATGTGGTGTTAAAATAATTAACTTATTATTTATAATTTTTAAAAAAATGTCAATACAATTTAATACAATTAAAAAAATATTAAGACCGATATAAAACTGGATGGCTCTGAAATGAAGAATGCCTCAGGCCAGCCGGACAGTGAGAATCTGAAGAAGTACCTCGCACTGTCACTCAGGAAGTTTGCCTCAGCCAGTCAGTTCCATCTTGTTAATCAGTTTTGTAAATTTTTTTCTCCGAAATAGCGTTTTACAATGTTTCGCAACAATTCAAACGTATTTAAGCAGTACAAACGCCAACTTCATCAACACATACAACAACAAACACTAACATGATTAATGCAACTAACTAAATAAATTAATAATAAACAATTAACAACAACAATAAAAACAATCAAAACAACAAGGCATCAACAACAACGCAACAACAACGACACAACAACAACAAAAATAAACAGACGGAAGTAGTTTAGTGTGTACATCGTCACGTTCGTCGGTCAACTGCGTCTTGCTATTCGACTACATATCGAATCTTTGTTTCGGTACAAGTTACCGAGTCATTCCTGAGACAAATGTCTTAGAGGCAATGTTCATGTAAGATGAGAGAGATGTTAACTTTTTAGAAGATTGCTTGGCAGTTTCGTTTTCTTGTTTTGCACTGTGTGGGATGCGTGAATTCATGAGTATTCGTTTTTGTGGCGTGCGTGCGTGTGTGCGTGTGTGTATGCTATCATCCATCAGCAGCGTCAGTATCATCATCATCTTTATCACCACCATCATCTTCATCTTCATCATCACCACCATCATCATCATCATTATAATCATCTTCATCTTCATCATCACCACCATTGCCATCATCATCGTCATCATCATCGTCAGACCGAACGGACTGGACAATGTAAAAGAGGTTTCGGACCTGTACAGTGCATTCGTTGCTTCACTTGAAAACAAATCTCACTCGTCTGCAGATGTCCAGATGGAGATGGATCGACGGGTGAAATGGAGAAGATGCAGTGCACGAATGAATGAATGAATGAAAGAATTAATAAATTAATTAATTGAATGATGGATAAAAAGATGGATAAACAAAGGAATGAATGAATGAACGAATGACAATTTGTAAAATATTTTCATGCTAGAACGAGTTCTTGCGTTAGACAGACAATCTGTCAAGGGATTGAATGAACGATAGAGGAATGAAAAAAAGCATGAACGAATGAAAAGAACGAATAAAATGATTCATAAATGAATGAAATTATTATCTATAATATATCAAAGTTGAAATGATTTATCAAAAATAAAATGATATAACTCCAAACCAGTTGCTGAATAAATTTCCGCCCCACAAACCCATGCAACTTCCACCTTTAACCGGATGTGACGACAATGCAACTTATTTGCAATTGCTCCTGCAGATCATGAAGGAACCACTGGTCAGAGAAACTAATGTCAAGGTCACTGATGATGGTGATAATGATGACGATGGTGATGAAGACGATGGTGATGAAGACAATGGTGACGAGGATGATGATGATTACTACGATAGTGATGATGATGAAATTGGTGATACTGATCATAATGATGAATATAATAAGGATGATGATGGCGATGGTGAATAATTTTGATGGTGATAATGTGATGATGATGATGGTGATAAAAATAACTTTGATGGTGACACAAACTCGGCAGATTAAAGACCCGAATGAGTTGTTGGAGGATTGTAACACGCCCACAACGGGCGGAAGGAGGTCAAGCATGACTCCCAGAAGGGTTAGGACAACGATCGTGATGATGATGGTGATGATAGTAGTGACAATGATGATGATAATAATGGTGTAAATTATGAGGATGACAATGATGATGAGAATGGTAGTAAAGGCAATTGAAACACTCAGCTGCGCACTTCACTGCAAAACATTTTTATCATCATCCTAATCACCAGCAACAGCATGATCATCATCATCATAATCACCATCATTATCATCATCAATACTATCATCATCATCATCATCATTATCATCATCAACCTCTTTTTCCTCCTCCTCATCATCATCATCACTACCAGCAGCAACCGACCACGCCACACCGCAACTTGATATGCGACAGTAACAACAGCGTCGTCCTGGTCACATTCTTCAGTTCACTCATCAACTCACCGAGACCATCACTGAATAGTGGTGAGATGATGATGACGATGGTGATGGTGACGATGGTGATGATAGTGATGATGGTGACGATGGTGATGGTGACAATGGTGATGATGATGATGGTGATGAGATTGACGATGTTGAAGATGATGATGACGACGACGACGATGATGATTACGATGATGGTGAAAAAAAAGATGACGACGATGATGATGATGCTGATGAAAAATATGATGATGACGACGACGATGATGATGATGATGATAGATAAATGATAGATGATTATGATTATGATGACGTTGATGATGATGTTGATGATGACGATGACCTACCTGGTTTTTAACTTCAAAAGTTGCGAACCTAGCAAAAACGTTTGCTAGTTTAAAAAAATTACAATGACGATAATAATGACATTAAGGTCATTTCAATTCATAATCAATGTCATCATCGGATATTAATTATAATAATTTATCATTATTTATTCATTATTATAATTTATTCATTATTATAATTTATTCATTATTATAATATATTCATTATTATAATTTATTCGTTATTCATTTTTTGGCGTAGGACCGCCGTCACCCGCTCCGCCCACAAGACCCGTGAGAGATCCATAACTCGATGGAGACTGAATTTAAAACTGACAAACATACAAACAAACAAACATACAAACATAAACAAACACCAAAACAAACAAACAGACAAATATGCATTATACAAACTAAATAACTAACATACAAAATGAATGAACAAACGAACAACCAAACATGCAAACATAAAAATACACACAATAATACAAACAAACATAAAAAATCACAAATATGCAAACAAACCGATTAGAAAAACATTAAAACCCACTAACGTATGAACAATCATACAGCAAACATACAAAATTTCATGCCCATCAACATATATATATACAAACATGAAAACAAAATAAAAACAAAACATTCACACAAACAAAAAATCAATTTCTACAAACACACAGTCAATCATCCTATCGAATTTTTGTATTCTGTTTTCCATTTTTTTCACAATACGCAAAAATTTTGAATTTTTTTAAGCAAATTTAATCATAAATCACACAAAATGAATAATTTATTGCACGTGAAATATTTCATATCTTTGTTGTCAAGTCGGTGTTTTTTCATTTTTTTCCCTAGGGAGTTGACACTTAACAAGCAATCAAACACGTAAGTTTTTGAAAAATGCTAAAACATGATTATGTAAATTCAAATTGTCCAAACTGTCTGCTTATTAATATTAATCATTTGTGGAAAAAAAATCAATAATTATTTTATTTACTGATAAAAATGTTTATTTATGAATGAATATTTATGTATGTCACTATCATTATCGTCATCATCGTCACCGTTATCATCTTCGTCATCATCTTTTTCATCATGTGTGTATGTGTGTGTGTGTGTGATTAATGGTCTGTTTGTTTGTCTGTGTGTGTGTTTTTGTTTTTTGTATAAATACGTGTGAAGAACTTATGTGAAATATATTTTTTATGTTTGTTTGAGGTTAATTAACTCCGTGGGTGCCATAAAACTGTATTTGGGTGGCTGGTTGGTTGGTTGTTTGATTGGCTGGTTGGTTGTTTTGTGTTCTGGTTGGTTAGTTGAGTGGTTGTTTGGTTGATTGAATGGTTGGTTGCTTTGCTAGTTGAGAGGTTGGTTTGTGTGATGATTGATTGATTAGTTGATTGGTTAGTTAGTAGTTGGTAAAAAAAATATTTTGATGTATTTATTTTTAAAAATAAGTATATCAACCAGCTTTGTAATAAAATTAGCACCGTATGGCAACATAATCTGACATTGTTGAAAACTAATGATGTGCAATTAACACTTTTTGGTTCACTCTAATTGGTTTTCATAAGATGTTTTGCCATAAATTTGTATCAAGTTTTTTGTAGAAAAAATAGTTTTCGTAAAAATTTTGTTACCTCAAGACAAGAAAAACAGAAAAAAATGTTCTTAAAAAAAAACAATATGCGATGAAATTGAACAGACCCCCCGATATACTAATAAAGATAAACTTCAAATAAACGTTATCCAGTTGAATTGTTATGATTATTGAAACATTTTATTAGTATGTAACAGGAGTTAATACACAGAGGTTAATCTGTATTGCGCATAATTAGGTGTACCTATTTACATTTTTACTTTTTTTACTACATAAAAGATACTAATTTTTTAATTTGAAAAAATGTGGATTGAACATTTCGATGTTCGATATACAATAAATTCAAATATGTACACGTATTGTGTACAACATATACATATGCATAGACATATACAAAGTTTTGAAAAATATTTGTACGTCAAAAATGATTAAAATGTATTTGTTTACTCAACATGTATATATCTGCCATTATATAAATGCTTTAATGAAAAACATACTCGAAATGGAAGAATAAGATTTTTAATAAGATGGATACCTTAGTACATTTATATGTTTATGTGTGTGTGTGTTTGTGTGTAAGAGAAAATGAGTGTGAGAGAGAGAGAAAAAAAAAGATGTGTGAGTGTGTGTGCGTGTATGTGTGTGTGCGTGTATGTGTATGTGTGTGTTTGTGTGTTAATAGCATAATAACTTAAATACATTAACTCTTGCATAATTTCTTATATTACTTGCATGTATAATATAGCAGTCTGGGTCTAAGGCGAAAGTTATTTTTTATAAAAATATGCATGTAACAAATATATGTAGAAGTATATATAACATCTATATTGTTGCATATATAAGTATACATCTTTATTTATTTGAATATATATATATATATATATATATATATATATATATAAATAATTTATGCCAAACATATATATGATAGGAATATATATATATATGAATATATATGTCTATATGTGTTGTGTTTGTGATATAATAATATTATTATATAACAAACACACACACACGCATATATATATATATATATATTTATTTATATATATATATATATATATACATGATTTTTATTACCTTTATAAATACGGTGATCTAAATATCTAATATCCTTTTAAGCTCAAAAGCGTCGGGGCGACGAGTATTCGATACTTGGTTAAGTACCATGAATCGATCACAGTCGATTTTGTAAACGTTTTTTATTAGTCGGTAGTAATCGGTTAAGTAGTTTGGTGTGGTATTTGTGGCTGCTTCGCATACTGCTGCCCGGTGTTAAATTGAAAATATTCGTCAAATATTTATCGATTGTTTGTCGGATCTTGGTCGAATATTTGTCAAATATTTTGTCGATATAATTTGGATCTGTTAAAACTTCGACCAGATAGGGTTTCTGGTTCAATGTAATTGTGGTAGTACATGAAATATTTGGTGGTGTATCTGGTAGACTGATTTGGTGGACATTCAGAAGAAGTTGTTGTATCTGTGGATTTCAATTGGTCCTTTATTTTTCTCGAAAATTGGATAACGAATAAATAATTCCAATAAATTAATTGAATATTTTGTCTAAATTATGAAAAAAGTTTTGAAATTTGAATTTCTATCTTTGCCATAGAACAAAATTTAATTGTTAAACGTTCGAATAATTTTTAAACTGTTCCAATAGATGTTTTTTTTGTTTTGTAAAAAAAACTTTAAAATAAAATGAAAATAAAAAATAAATAAATAGAGTTCACGACTGCTGCTTACATAGATAGATACATCACCGACAAGAGCGCAAACAACAGACTATGAAATCAAAGACTTTAAAAAACCACAAACAAACTTTTCAAGATAATGTAATTGATCCTGAAGATAAATACAATTAAAAAAGTAAATTGTAAAAATTAAAGTTGAAAAAGAAAATAAAACGAGGACATAGAAATAAAAGTCGCCGTCAAAAAAATTCGTTCCTCTTTGGTTGGAGATGTTAACTGGTCAGCTTCGAAATCATGAGTAAGTGATTAATGTGGATGTTGGTGAAGATGAGAATTTGGTTGTTGATGATGACGACGATGATGATGACGATGATGATAACGATATGGCTGGTGATAATGAAGATGTTGTTATTGTTCGTTATTCTCATTGTCACCTTTCTCCAGCGTTTTTGTGAGCCGCTTTGATGACGTCACTGATGACATCACACTTCGCTGTTCATTTCGATGTTGAAAATGAGATTCACATGTCAAAGATTTAGCAACGAAGCTGTAATAAATTGCTTCTGCGAAGAAGTAACAAAACCCTGATGACGTTGATGGATGTACGCTCTGTGATTGTTAAAAAATCGCACGCGTTACGTAACCTTATAACTACAAGAGAATAAATTATGGCATTGTTTGCGTGTGTAAGTGTGTGTGTGTGTATGTTTGTTTTCGTGTTTGTCTGCGTGTATTTGTGTGTGTCTGTGTGCATTTGGGAGGGAAATGTTCAAGTTGGTGACAACTGAATCCTATATTTCATTTCATACGCAACAAGAGCATCTACAAATGTTTGTCTCCTGAAACAAGAATAGAACAATCCCGTAAGAATGACTTATCTATTTATTTGTCTAGTTCAGTTAATTCGCTAATTTTTTTTCATCTCTCTCTCTCTCTTTCTCTCTCTCTCTCTCTTTCTTTCTCTCTTTCTCTTTCATACATTCTTGTTCTCCTCCTTCTTCCTTCTCTCTCTCTTCCTTATTTTCCTTTCTCTTTTTCATTGCGTTCTCACTCATTTCTTCAGGCAAATGTATTTTAGTGCCACCAAAATTTCTTACCAAGTGCAAAAAATTGACTGAGGCGTAAGTACGAACAATTTTGAACCTGCATAAAAATCTCTATCTTTAAATGTTGTATTGAGAATTCCGTGTTTATAAAACAAGTCAGTGTTTGTTTAATAAGCTGTGTGCACGAGCATTTAAATGTTTTAAAATGTTAATATTTGTTTAACACTGTTTACACATATGTATATTGTAAATCTGTGTTCATGTTTGCTTAATGTAACTTTAACCCCATTGCAAATTATATAACTAAACATTCTCTCACACACGCACACGCACGCACAGACAAACACACACACACACATTCACGCACACAAACATCTATAATATAGTGGTATAGCACATGTATAGTTGATGAAAAATACCAACAATAACATGAAACTGAATTAATCAAGTGTGTTTTGCGTAAGTGTGTGTGTGTGGGAAGGAGGAAGAAAAAAAGAGAGAGAAAAAGTGAAAGAGAAAGAGGGAGAAGGAGATGTAAGTGTTTATGTTATGTGCGAGTATAAATGGGATGTGGGACATTTTTTCGATCTAAACACTTTATATGTTTAAGATTTTTACAATTTAATCACAAAAAATGGTTTTGTACGTGTTGAAAGTAAGAATATCAAATTAAAAATAAAAAAAGAAAGTTTAAAATAGACAATCAGAATAAATCTTCAATTGCTACTTATCGTTATAGATCTATATAATATGAAAAAGCCATAGCATTAAAACATTCAATAACCAATCTGTTATTACTATGTGCTAATTAGATCGTGGTGTGTGGTGTGTGTGTGTCTGTGTGTGCGTGTTTGTGTGTATGGTGTGTATCTGCAGCTAAATTCAGACATAACAAATCACTTATTTCCTTGGTCGGTCCCACACAAAATGTTTGATGAATTATTTTTTAATGGGTTTTTTTTTCTTGTTATCTAGTTCCTAACTGTTCTGGCTGAGGCAGTATTCAAACTGGTATCGTTTCAATCTCGTAATAAATTTTTTGACTCGTTTGTTACGTTAAAACAAGTTTTTCACAAAAGCAAAAAATATAACATTCGGTAAGAATATACATAAAAGTTTGGCGAAATATGAAACATTACTTAAAATTAAACATACACCTCAATAAACCGTTCTGTTTTTTATTGATATAACTCTTCTTTTGTAAACATTTTCAATTTCGGCTAATTTTTCTTATTTTGTTTGGAAGATACAATTTTGCTTGGTGACTGAAAACAGGACAAAAAGCACATTAATTAGAGTCATTAATTTCATTTGTGTGTTTATTTTTTTTATAATTATTTATTTTTCCTCTTTTTTTTGTGTGTTTATTATTTGAGTTTTTTTGCGGTGTTTGTTTCTTTGAATGACAACCGAAAATGTTGTTGTTGTCGGTATGAGATTGATTTGTTTGGTATACGTTTCAGTTTGAAACTTCTTATAAGGCTTTTTTCCATATACAACCATGACGTGTACGTCTTTATGTATTGATGTTTTACCAAAAAAAATATACAAAATAATTTAAAGTCAAAAATTTATGAATGATTTGTTGGTTGTTGTTGGTTTAATGCAACCCTGACGAGCTCAGGATTTTTGTGCTAAAATAGCTGCTGTAAGATACAGACACACATGGCGAATGATAATTTTTTAGTTTCAGACAGACGATATTCGAACCAGGTCATCACACTTTAAAAACATCGATAGGAGTGACACTTTTACCGTCTGAGCTATCTTGCCAACTTCTTGATTAGTAATAAATTAATTGATTTATATGGAAATCACTTTTTAAAAATATTATTTTTCCACCCATGCAATCCAACCGACAGAATGTTGTATAGCTTGGTTTCTGCTACTCCACGTCACAGAAATATTATCAGCCTCCTTATCTTCATCAACCAAAAACAATTCAATAGGTTGGTCGGCTAATGGTAATGAATGCTGATGCCTGAACAATAATGTCTGTCTGATGTTTGTGATAATAATAATGATGATGATGGAGTATGATGATGGAGTATGACGATGATGTGGTTATGATGATGAGGTGAGGATGAGGTGAGGATGACGATGCGTTTGTGATGATGGCATGACTGGATTTGTTATCCGCCTCTCATCACGTCAACGAGTATTCAAATGCACTGTGTGTTTGTTACTATTGATTTTGAAAATTAATTGAGAGAGGTAGAGAAATCAAAGAATGAGAAAAAAAGAGAAGAAGAAAATAGAGAGAGAGAGAGAGAGAGAGAGAGAGAGAGAGAGAGAGAGAGAGAGAGAGAGAGAGAGAGTTTGTGTGAACGTGGGTCTGCGTGTGTTCATGTGCGCGCTTGTACGCGTTCATATTTCATGCGTTATTGTTTGAAGAGCGTTTCAAGTGTTGATAAGAGGCAGACATCGAGTGAGCCAAACGTGCCAACAATTGAAATAGAGTCTGAGGTTTGAATGCTAATAAATTTATAGATCATTAACAGATTGTAGCTTGTGTGTTTGTCTGTGTGAATATCTGCAAGTTTGCAGTTATATGTGTTTCTATGTTTGAGTAATTATTACTTATTTAAGCACGAAATCAACAAAACATACAACTCAAACTCTGCAATAAAAGTTTTTTACTGCCCACTTACCATTGGTTTACTACCTAACATACTTCAATAGATGGGTGGCTAGATGGTTGAATGGTTAACTTGTCTGGTTCTGCTGGTTTGCTGGTAACCGGGTTTGAATACATAGGAAGCCCTGCCTTGCACATGCAATGTGTGGGTCTGGTGTGTGTGTGTGTGGTGTGTGAGTGTGTGTTGAGTATTTTATGAAGTTGTCGTTAGTGAATTAATAATAATAATAATAATGTGTGTGTTTGTGAAAGTTTGTTATAATTAATAACAAAACATTATTAAAATAAAATACAACGATAAACAATTATAAATATTAATTAATTAATAATTATTTTGAAAAATTTTGAATTATTCCGCAGGGTCTCAAGTGAAATATTATGAAAAAGCCGAGGTGCGTGTATGTCCGATAGTGAAGTATGTGAAAAGTGGTGGTGGTGGAAGTCGTATGTTTAGCGCTTTGGAAGCTCCTATCTCCGAAATGGGTCAGTGATGATGATTGTGAAGGCGGGAGTGGTAGTAGTAATGAGGAAGACGTGATGATGATGATCTGAACGTTTTTTTAGGTTTTCTAGGGTTTTAAATGAATGTTCTTTCCATTTTTTTTACAACTGTTCTGTCAACAACAACCAAAGGCAGAAACTATTAGACACCTTTTTACATTGTCGATGAGATATGGAATGTTTTAGTATCACGTCTGTTGAGTAATTCATAATTCATTCAGGATGCATTACATATATGTATTTTTAAATATATTTTTCGTTTTTTTTCATCTGGTGTCTGTTTTTTTAGTGTTCGTTGAAATCTTTTTTAATTTTTTACATTTTATTGGTTTTTAAATAAAAGGTTAAGGTCTTAGAGTGATTTTTGTTAACTGCAGAATTTTTATTAACAGTTTTTAATTTGATAACGGTTTAATATTTTAACAATATCATTTAGTCATTTAAAAATAATTGTTTAATCATTTTTTTGTTGTTTTTGGTATTTTGGTATAATTTTCTACTGTAATTTATATATGTTATGAGATTTATTTTCATCATCATCTTAAAGTCATCATCATCGTCGTCTCAATAATTATTCTTATCTTCCGTCATCATCTTTCGTCATCATCTTCATCATCACTGTCATCGTCACCACCATCATCTTTCGTCATCCTCATCGTCATTTCCACCATTGTCTTTCCCATAACGATGAGTTTGTGTTCATTCATTTCAGCAGTTCTCTCATTAAAACTGGCCATAAATTATATCATTAGTTGATGATGGTGTTGTTATTTTTGTTGCTAAATTACCATGTAGCATTATATAACAACGTATATATCATGTTGTATTTGTGTTGTTGTAATTGTTGTTGTTGTTTTGTTTTTTCAAATTCGTTTGCATATAATTAAAATACAGCAACATAGGCTGATTTTTTACTACTGTTATTACTGTTATCAATGAAGTTATTGTTTTTTTGTTGTTATTGATGTTGTCTTTTTTAATGTGATAGTATATAAACAATCTACAACAACATACATACAAACACAAACATGCAAACAAACATTTGTAGATTTAAAAAAACATCAACATATCAACATATATACAAAAATGTTGTTTTATTTATGGGAAAACAAAAACTTATGGTATATATTTGTTGCCATCATGCATACACTGTGTGGTATATATACAATTTGTAAAACCAGGTCAACAGATATTAGCAATTAATTACTGACAAACAATTGTACTGTAATGTGCTACGCGACACATGTGTGAGTCGTGTTTGTATGTTTGTTTGTATGTTTGTATGTTTGTGTGTTTTTTTTGTTTGTTTGACTGTATGTATGTGTGATAATTTGTGTAATTGTTCGTTTGTTATTTGTTTGTTACAGTTTTGCTGCAGTTTCGACTTTGCAGATAGCAACAAAGATGATATTAATGATGATGATATGAAAATAATGATAATATTCATGATGATGTGGATGATGACGTCGATGAGGATGATGACGTGACGTCAATGATGATGATGACAGTGAGTACAACAGCGATGACGATATTATTTTTAATTAGCTTTTAAGTGAGGTCGAATTTCTTTTAAAAAATACGGCCAGAATAACATACTAACTACAACAAAACACAACAAATAATAAAAATAATACTGACAATAATAAGACCAACAACAATAATGACATACAGGCAAATAACAAAACACCAAACCGAATGCATACAAACTTAAGCAAAAAAAAACTTAAAATAGAATGTATAGAACAAACATTTTAGCATGTGGATTTTAACTGAGTTAAATTAAGTAGTAATAGAAGTAGTAGTAGTAGTGGTAGTAGTAGTAGTAGTAGTAGTGGTAGTAGTAGTGGTAGTAGTAGTAGTAGTAGTAGTAGTAGTAGTAGTAGTAGTAGTAGTAGTGGTAGTAGTAGTAGTAGTAGTAGTAGGGGTAGTAGTGTTAGTTGCACTTTTAGTTAACAATAGCAAAGTCTGTTTTGTATAAGACCCTAACTCCATCTACAATAGCAAATTAACAACAATAACAACTTTAATATCTATCGTGCCGTATATCCTTTTCTGGTACCAACTGATTCATTAACATCTGTGTAATACCTTGTGTATTTAATCTGTTGGAGTTTCGGAGAAAACAGCTCTCTTTTGCCGCCTTGTCTACTTCTTCGTTTGCCTCAACTACACAATGCCCCGCTATCCAAGCTACTGTCAGACTTTTATTACGTGCTTCAAGACTGTTTATCTCCTCCGATATTTGAATGCTATCTGGGTTCTTGTTGTTAGCGTTCCTTAGCATGCTTGCGATGAGTAGGCTGTCTGTTACTATTGCTCGGTCTTCTGTTCTTTATACCTTTGGAGCCATTCTCTGCTGATTTTTATCACTTTCCTTTTTGTTTTAAAGCTGCTACACATGTGGTTGCAGGGATGTGATGAGATGATGATGACTTCACAGGTTGATTATAAATACCCTTAAAATTGGCCTTGGAAAATAGAAATAAAATCAAATGAATATTTGTATGAATGAATAGATTGAATAAGGATTATGCATGAATAATGGAATAAATGAATGAATAAACAAATGAATAAATAAAAGAATGAATAAAGGCAGAAAGGAAGGAACGAATGAATGACAAGTAAATTATCGCGTGGCATTGCGGTTTGTTGAGAGTAAAAAATTAGCGTGATTGTTATTTATGACTAAGAGAAGATGAAGATGATGACGACAACGATGACTGTAATGATAATGATGATGGCGATGATGATGATGATAATGATGATGATGATGATGACGATGATGACAATGATGTTAATGATGGCAAAAAAACATTTCACCGCATTTCTATTTGAATGTGCTTTTTAAATTTGATTGACATTTCAAAAGAACTATTTTTAATTTTAGAATTTTCAGCACTCGGGTCACGTGTCATTGATGATGAGGATGCTGATGAAGATGATGATGACGATGATGATAACGATGACGGCGATAATGATTGATGATGCTTATTCATAGTTGTGAAACTGTTTTTTTGGGTCATCTTTATTTTCATTCCTTCGTAATCTTGTCATTATTTCCTCAATTGTTGAAATCATCATCATCCTTATCTTATCGTTATCCTCATCATCATCTGCTGATGTTCATTTTTGTTTTCATCCTTACCTATCGCTATTATCATCCTTACCTTCATGACTAACATTACTATCGTCATCATCATCGTCGTCATCAGCGTCGTCGTCGTCATCATTTTTATTACCACCATCATCGTCATAACGGTTGTCATCAACAGCAGCAACGTCATCGTCATTAGCAGCATTCTCGTCATCGTCATCATCATCGTCGTCATCATCGTCATCGTCGTCATCAATCCTATTATGTACCAGCATTCGTGCTGCTAATAGATAATGAGCCCTGATTTTAAAAAGTTTTAAAAATGGTTCAAAACGATTCATCGCCGTCATGTTTTCTCTCTTGCTTACTTTAAATAACTTTTGCAAGTTGTTTCTCTTTGCTCCTGTTTGCCATTTCTTTCTCTTTCTCACCATCATCGTCGTCTGCAGCATCATTTTGACCATCATCGTCGTCATCATCACATCGCTGTATCACTTTTTACGTCATCATCGTCTTCATTGCTTCATCATCATTCTCACCATCCTCTCTCCACTCCAGACAAATGTTTAGTTCAAACTCTTATCATTAGTAACATCAATGAACTGATACTTTCACTTCTGATATGTTATTATCCTGTATTTAGAATGCATTATACATAAGTGCATATGTGAAAAATTATGAAAGTTATGTAGGTGTTTATATACGTTTTGTTTATATGTTAAATTAATTTGCAGTCGGTGTGTTTTGTTTAAATTAATTTGCTGTCGTATTTAAATTATAATTGTGTTTAATAATTAATTTACGTGATGACCTGCATACAAAGTTTGACCTAATTAATTTATGTGACCTACATTCAGGGTTTGACCTACTTTCTAAATTCGGGGTGGACTACATGGCGTCAGATGTGACGTCAAAAGTTCAGGTGGTTAAAGGATCAAGCGCCTATCAGAAAGCTTTCAGGATTGATTCCACGTCTAAACTGCGCATGTCTACTAAGTAAGTGTGTGTGTGTGTGTGTGTTTGTGGTTGGCTGGTTTGTGTGTGTGTGTGCGCGTATATGTTAGTTTGTGTGTGATTTTATGTAGTTATTTTGTGTTTGATAATATTGTACAATTTGAATATGTTTGTTTCTCTACCTGTATGCATGTTTCTCTACTTTTGTATAGTATTTCAATTATGAATCGCACCATTTTTGTTTGCATGTTCCTAATTTTAGTTTTTGTATGTTGTGTGGCCCGCCATTGAAATGAAACAAAGATATAAGCCGAATTGTGAATGAGGTAAGGGAAACACAACCCAACTCGAAAGTGAAATGGGTGCAGCTGCGAGGCAATTAAAAAGGCTGGCGATGATGAATTGTTTGTATGTTTGTTGGTTTGTATGCTTGTTTGTTTGCTTATAGGTTTGTTGTTTTGTTTGTATGTTTGTCTATTTGAACTTTTATATGTACCTATACATATACGCATGTATGTTTAATTGTACAATAATTTTCTTTTAAAAGCTTTGTTTGCTCCTTATTTTCCTTTGAAAGCGTTGATGCAATGTTGTTTCATTGGAAGAAACGATTGAAAATATTTGTAATGATAATAAGCATAAATAATAATAATAATAATAATATTAATAATAATAACTAATAATAAAAACAAACAATTAATATAATAATAAACAATGCTTTAACAACTATTTATTATCTGTATTGAAAAGAACAATATACGCCACGATCAGACGAGCATACAAACAAATACATGAGTGTAAGTATTATATACTAGACCGCAATTAAATGTGATAATGATGTAATGATGTGATAGCTTCATGATGATAATATGTAATGATAAAGATGACTTTTCGACGCAATTATTTGGTGGTGATGATACATGATGAGATATGATCTTATGATGATATTGAAATGATATGATACATGGTCATGATATATGGTGATTATATATGGGAATGATATATGGCGTGATATGATCTTATGATAATATTGAGATGATGTGATATATGCTGATGATATATGATACATAATGACCTAACGAATAGCTGATGATGATGTTGTGATGATGATGATAGGAGGAAGAGTTTTGAAGTTATGAAACAGATTAAAATTTTCAGGTGATGATTGTCTGGTGTGCCATAGATAAGCTATAGAAAGCATGATTAAAAAATATAAAAAATTCACTTTTACCAAAAATATATCACAAAAAAATATAAAAAAACTTCAAGGTTATTTTGAATTTGACAAAAAAAAACACAAAATGAAAATTTTTTTCCACCAACAACATCTGTTTTCCAGGCAAATAAAAAGCAACGTTTCTTTCCTCCACGTTTGAATAAAAAATAATTTGTACATTCTACTTCTAGATGTGTATATGTTTGTATGTATGTGTAAATGTGTTTGTGTACGTGTATGTACCTGTTGGTTCTATGGCTTTGGTGTGTCATTTATTGGCACGTTTTATTGCTTGTTAGACTATTTCTGGTGAATAATTTATTGAGTCTAAAAACTGAAATTGGTATCTAGTTGTTTTTTAAAATTAGAATGTGAGTGACCTTCAACAATTTAGCATTGCATAGTTGAAATTGTTCTCTTATTTCAGGCATGTTTAATGCATTCCAATTGGAAAAACACATCTATCTTCATCCTGGCCCGAAAGTGTTTCCAACTCAATCAAAACATTAAAAATTCATGAAATACGTAGAGTTATTTAATTTTTTCACTAGAAAAGCTAGATAAAATTTTTTGAATTAATTAAAAAACAATAAAAAAATGTAATCTCTGAACAGGCGAGTGTTCTGGAAAAGCATCCCATTGAGTTTTTCCTTGACGACGACCTTCCGATTGAACATGGATTCGTTTGACGTCAGCTGGTACGTCTTCTACATACAGGATCACAAGGGAAGGATCCAGTTCGGACTGCAAGTTAGTTTGGTTGGGGATGCGGATGCTGTCTCCCATGGTTCGGTTGGGTTTTTGAGTGGTTTTCGGTTTGTTTTCTTGGTAGGTTTTTATAGTCGAATATTCTTCGAAGAGTCTCCATAATTGTTTGGCTGTATGATCAAAGTTTGAGATTAGGTAATTTATATAATTCTTTAAATAAATTTATAAATTTACCATAATTTTGTAGAGAGTTTTAAACATTTAAAAAAAATGTTGCATTGTATTAGAGATGTTTGAAATGTTATTAAACAAATAAAAATCTAAACACAAGTTTGCCAACATGTAAGAAACAGGAATGCAAACAAACAAACAAACATACAAATAGAAACAAACATTTAATCAACGAACGAACGAACAGGTGAATCCAAAGAGGAAGCTACTGAGGTTTAAATTGATGCATCCCACAAAACGAAATCTTCAAAACTTTGATCTATCATTGGATAACGAATACTTCGCTAAAGTACGTCTTTGTGAGTTTGTTTCTCTCTCTCTCTCTCTCTCTCTCTCTCTCTCTCTCTCTCTCTTTCTGTTTGTATGTGTGTCCGAGTTTGTTTTTGTGTGTTATGTATATGTAATTGTGTATTTTAAACTGTGAGGGTTTCAATCGCTTGTATGTCTGTTGTTAAATGAAATGAATAGCATTATTTGTTTTCTCGCGTGTGATGTTTTGAAAATTTTTAAAATATACAAGAGAATGATCCATCTGATCATGTAACGTCTTAAAAGTTTGGTTTCCTTTGCCGAAGTTTTTGTAAACATTCAATATTTGTAGTAAACATGGCTCTTAACAATTTTTACATGTTAATAACATTCAAACTCCAACGCTACTACTATTGAAAGCTTTTAAATTTAATTTCTCACACTTCTGAATTATTGAAAGCAGAAAAAAATTTTAAAAATTGAATAAAAATGGACGTTATCACTCTAGTTTTTTTCTCCATTTTTGCGTTCATCTCAAATTTTTCATTTCAGTTTTTTACATTCAGACCAAACTCGTCTTCCAATAAGTTTCGCGTACCATTGTCGAGTTTTATTCGTTCTCATTTGCCGTTCTAGTCGCTGTATTGTTTTGTGTGTGTGTTTGGGGTGTGTGTGTTTTGTGTGTGTGTTTTTTTGTGTGTTTGTGTGTTTTGTATGTGTGTTTTGTTTGCGTTTTTGTGTGTTTATTCTGAATAAAACATTCAATAAGTTTATACAATACGACATAGTGTTTATTTTGCTAACATCGGTAATAATTTTGTGATAATATCTTTTATTTCGAAGTTCTTCTCTTATCTATTCTATTTTTTGTTTATGTTTTTCTTTTAATTATATGCACTGTAAGTTTCATCAGTGTTATTTTAGGTACACACACACAAACACACATACACAACACCCACACACACAAATACACACACACACACATACATACACATACATTCACAACATACACACAAACATACAAAACACACACATATGTAGACATACAAATCTCTTTTCACGGTATTTCAAGATATATTTTTACATTTACCTATTGACACCCAATGATGATGTTGCTCTTATTAAATTGTTGGTGGTTACATATCATTGTTTATAAGATTTGTAGCAAAAAAAGCGCTATAAAAATGACGCAATATTGTTTTGATATCATTGTTATATATGTAATCATCTTAATTAATCATAATAATTTGTTGTTATTGTTGTTGTTGTTGCTTTGTTATAACTACTATTAAAAGGTGTGAATGTTAATGTTGTTGTAGTTGCTGCTATTTTTCATAAAATCACATCATGACAGCAACAACAACAACAACAACAACAACATGAAAGCAGACAATGATAACACTGTATCATTGATGACAGACAACAACAACGACATGAAAGCAGACAATAATATCATTGTATCATTAATGACAGTTCTCAAAGTTTTCATTGTATAGAGTGAACTTGATAATAAATATATCAATCATTTATCTTATATATCTTGATACACAATCTTTTATTTATTATTATTACAATAACAATGTAGTCTTTGTTGTGTTGTTGTGCGTGAATGTGTATAACTATACATAGATACAAATATACACACACCACACACATAGATATAAACACACCACACACACACACCACACACGCGCGCGCACATTCGTATTGACATTTACACACAAAGATTAATGTTTTTAATAATATTAGTTGTATTAATACTGATGGTATTATCATACTTAGTTTTACCGGTATTAGTCTTTGTCGACGTAATAAATGTCACATTATTTATATTATATTAACTGTTATTGTTATTCTTAATATCATTCTTATTATTACTATGATTATAATAATATTAATAATAATTATTATTATTATTAGAAGTAGTAGTAGTAGTCGTCGTCGTCGTCGTCGTAATAGTATTAGTAGTAGTAGTAGTAGTCGTCGTCGTAGTAGTAGCAGTAGTAGTAGTTGTAGTAGTAGTTGTATGTTGGCTGTGACATTGGTAGGATTTAGAAAATGGGTTAATAGATTTAGCAGATGCCCAATCATATATAAATTTTAAATATATATATAAGTAATACACACACACACACACACACACACACACATATATATATATATATATATATATATATATATATATATATATTCATATGTGTCGTAGACTAAAACACACACGCGCACGCACACACACAAACACACACACGCACGCACGCACGCACACAAACACACACACACACATACAGATACATATCAGTTGCATATGTTACATATTTGTAACCCTTTTTTTTACCAATCTCTATGGCTTGCGAATACGAAATAGGTATAGGATGTTTGGTGTTGTTGTTGTTTTTTTAACTTTGCCAAACATAATTTTTTATGTCTTCAATAAATCAAGCAATTATTTGTTTATTTTTGTGTCTCTCTTTCTCTCTCTCTTTCTCTCTATCTCTTTTTTTCACTCTTTTTTCTTTTTTTCTCTTTCTTCCTCTTACTCTCTTTTAATCCTGTTACCTATTTTTTTGTCCCATCTAGCTTACACAGCCGGAGAGCAATTCTTGAAACATTTCCAATATATATCTTTCTGTTTTCCATTGAAAAATTCTAAAAAATTCTACAGAAATCATCTATTATGATTATTTCCAAATGAGAAAAAAATAAATAAACGTAACTCACAGACGAGAAAATAAGTAATAATATTAATCAAATTTCACGCTGAAACCAAAGAACGCCAACCCCATTAAATACAACAGCGGTTTCATAACACATGATACATTGTTAATAAATTTGACACATTGTAGACCCTTTTTATGTAACAACATATAGGTATATACACGTGTGTATGACATTTTCTTAATTAATTATAATTTATTATTAATATTATTATCATTATTGTGATAATTATTATTTTTCGTCTCCTTCTTATCTTTCTTATTATTATTACTATTGATGACGTGTTTAAGATCTCAAATAACATTTTTTTAAATATTTTTATTCTTTGACTTTGTTATCGTTTAATGTTATTCTTATCACCATCTTAATTGCTGTTATTGTTGCTGTTCTCCGCATTGTTATTCTGGATTCCATGCTATCAAAAAAAATATTTTTTTAATCTCTAGCAAACAGCATTACTTATAAGAAAATAAAATTACATTTCTCCTTCTATATCATGCAGTCCTCATATTTACACAAGAGCTGCTTAGTGCTTACGTATTATTCCATGCTTATAGTTAAACTTTGTTGCCACAAATGTTGTAGCATGCGTTCTGCCTGCCATTACATATCTACATAAATACCACATATTCACATATACATCACATATCTACATAAATACCACATATTCACAAACATATCACATATGTACATACAAACCACATATCTACATAAATACCACATATTCACATACACATCACGTATCGACACAGACAGTATTCGAAGCAAATCATCGCGTAGTAACAGCGCGAAACACGGCTCTTCTACCGTATGAGCCAACTCGCTGACCTGTTATAACATTAATAATTATATCTTTCTTAAAATTATTACATAAAACAATTCTTAATCCAGTGAGACAAAAATTATCTTTTTATGGAAAAGTTTTTTTGGAGTGAATTAAAAAAACATGGCTTCTTCGACAATTTCCAGTCTATGATACTAATATATTATACAGTGATGTCTTTTCAACTCAACAACTGATATTATCGTTTAATAAATCAGTTTTCAACGTTTCAATTGATGTAAAAAATATAATTCACTGACTTTATTTCTGCGTTAAACATAAAAAACATATATTTACATGTAGTCTAAGTAGCGAAGTAAGACGGCGGTAGGTTCTAAATCGCAGTGATCTGGTTCAATTGCAAACAGATCCCACATTTCAAGTAATTAAGAGCATTTTGCCTAATTTTATATAAATGCGTGTGCGTGTCTGATGTATGTTTTTCAAATGTTCTTTCATGAAAGAAATTTTTTTGATAGATTTTGATTGTGACTCTTGGTGGTCTTCAACCTAAAAAAAGAAGCTACACATTAATAAGAGAGCCGCTGTTTATCAGTAAGATATAAAACATGAACGAAGTTTCAGTAGTGTATGTGATTAGTTTGTGGTTGGATTTGGTTCTTTATTAATGGAGCTGAACAAAACAAACACGTCTGCTGAATAAAGCCATGCGCGCCATCTAACTTTCAAATATTTTATTTAAAAAAAGAGACAACAACAATAATAATAATAATAATAATAATAATAATAATAATAATAATAACACTGAACCTCATCGTATTCAGAACGTCAGAAACGAACAATGGGAATAAAAATAACACTATCTTTATTTATGAGAGTGCTAAGTGTTTGTTTGTATATCAAGGTAGATGTTTTTGTGTAAAGTGGTTTGTGTCCTTGTCTGTGTGTTTGTTTGTTTGTTTTTGTGTGTATGTATGTACGTGCCATTGTGTGTGTGTAAAAAGAAAATTTATGTACATTTCAAGAGATTTCGATCAAATAATTCTGTTAGAAATAAAACAAATTATAAACTACAATACCAAATATAGTTGAAATGTTTCTGACAAAACTTTCAAAAAAAAAAGATATGTAAAAAAATTGTTATAGAGCAATTAATTATTTTTATCGTAAATGATGATTTTATTTGGATCATATCACATGGACTGATTGATTGCTTCTTTGTTTGAGATATGGTACTATTAAAAAGCGATTATTTCTACCTTTCAAATCAATTTCATGATTATCATCATTTTGGTTTTAGTGTTATCATAAAATTATTTCGTCATTTTCGTCATTTTCACAGCAAATATGCTGTGTTACTGTTTATTCTCATTAACATCGTCATCATCATTATTCCCATCTTTATCATCATCATCACCATCATCATGGATTTTGGACTTTTCGTGTTGACAGTCAGTCCCACCACTTGAAAGCTGTTGCTCCATGACCACCACAATCATCATCATTACCATCATCATTACCATCATCGTCATCGCCTTCATCATCATTACTATCATCATCATCACCATCTTCCTCTTCATCATTCTCAAAATCATCATCATCATCGTCATCGTCATTTGTGCTCCGTCCAATCAAACAAACCGACCAATCACGAAACAGTTCTTCGACAACACGTGGCACAAGATTGGAGTCTCATTCACTCCTGACCGCTTCGAGGTCTTCCTAGACTGCGCCAAGGTCGGGTCAGCCTACCCTCACCTCACAAACTTCTCTCACATAAGCCTCAACGGAGAGATATGGATGGGCAGGAAGAGTGTCGACATCGGAATTGACGTAATTATAAATATTGGCGCATTACTTGCTAATGTTTATTCATTATTCATGTTTTTAATCACTATTGTCTTATATTATCAAATCACCTCATTATTTCTTACTATTATTAATGTAATTATTATTTTATTGTTATACTATTATTATTATTTTTATTATTATTATTATTATATTAATTATAATTTTTTTAGTTTGACCTTCAGTGGGCTATGATAAACTGCGATCCGAGAATCCCCATGTACGAAAATTGTATCGATCTACTGGTTAGTTATGCATGTATTAATGTTTGTTTGTTTGTAATAATGTTTGTTTGTATGTTTGTCGGTATGTTTGTTCGTTTGTATGTTCGTTATAAACGATTGCTACTTATAGCAGCGTGATTATTATTCGTTATAAACGGTTGCTGCTTGTAACAATATCACATTTGCCTATCTCTTTAATGATTGGCATAAATTACAGCTACATCATTGTTAATATTTTTTTATCCGTTGTATGTACGTAATAAATTTTTGGTTTGTTTGTTCGTTCGTTCGGTTGTTTGTTTCTTTGTTGGTTTGCGTTTTTGTTGCTGAGTTGATCCATAGACAAAAGATTGTTATGTAATCTATTGTAAGTTTGATATTATCGCATTATCATTTTAAATTATTTTATAGTAATAGTAGTAGTAGTATAGTAGTAGTAGTAGAAGTAGTAGTAGTAGTAGTAGTAAAAGCAGCAGTTGCAGTAGTAGTGGTAATAGTTGTAGTATCGGTGGTGGTGCTAGTAGCAGTATTAGTAGCAATAGAAGTCGTACAAGTTGTAATATAGTATTTATATATTTTTTTAACTACGAATTTTATATCTGCAAAACGAATATATATTGAATAACGCAGTTGATTCAGACGATCTGAGATTTCATTTGAATGGGATGATTGATTTCTAGAGACGACAAACAGATAGGGTATTTTTATTATTTACATGGAAAAGTAATATATTTTGTACATTTTTATAGGTAGGTGTCAGTAGTATTTTTTGTATATAACAATGATATTTCTTCTGCCTGTAGAGCGATTAATTACTCTATTTAAGATAACTTTCATAATAAATTTAGATGATGAAATGATTTCTTATGTTATCTTCTTTCCGATTTTGTGTGTGTGTGTTTGTGTGTGTGGCGGGTGTTTGTATGAAATATAAAAAAAATTAAATAAGATGCTTGATAACGTCGTCAAAATTATGACAACCATCCTTTATCTTTATGATATCTTTCTGAAAAATTCTAACAGCCTAATTTCATTCGTTCTTACATTCATTCTTACATTCATTCTCTTATTTATTTATTTTACTCACTCACTCACTCACTCACTCACTCACTCACTCACTCACTCATTCACTCACTCACTCATCATTCATTCATTCATTCATTCATTCATTCATTCATTACTCACACTCAAAACCATTCCAAACCAACATCATCAAATTATCTCGCAGCATCTTCTTTATAATGAACTTTGAAAAAAGTGAACGCAAACATATTTTTCTGTACGATGCCAGCCTGTATAATACTAGTTTGAATATGCGTGCATGTGCGTGCTTTTGCGTGTGTGTGCGTGTGTGTGCGTGTGTGAGTGTGTGTGTGCGTGAGTGAGTTTGTGTGTGTGTGTGAGTATACATGTGCGTGTGTATGGGTGTACTTGTATGTATTTTGCATAAGGTGATGCTAATGTAAACAAAACAAATGAACCATATATGATAATTTTAACCGATAAAATAATAGTTTTTTCTATCGCATAGCGAATGATAGTTAAGTACATAATTTGAAAAGTGACATATGAGTAAAATGGATAAAGGAATGAATAATATAGTAGATAGATGAATGAATGAATGGATAGATTGATTAATCGATTGATAGATACATAGATGAATGAATGAATTAATGGATAGTTTGATTGATTTATTGATTGATTGATTGATAGATAGATAAATACATGGGATGATAATTCAATGGATAACTGAAATAAATAGATAGATAGACTGATGATTGGATGGAGGGGTGAAAAGATGGATAGATGGATAGATGGATGGATGGATGAATAGATGGCTAATTAAATGAATGAATGAATGGATAGAAAGACGAATAAATGAATGAATGAACGAATGGGTAGACAGATAAATATGTTGTTAACGTACTTAACTCAAGTGTTTCACGTTGCTGGGAATAAAATGTAGTTTTTTGAATGTTTGCCTAGATTACTCTAGATTACTTTCCAATATTCCTACACAATTCTGTCTGTGTATATAAAAATTTACATGAAAAATAAATATAAGAGTTATATCTACGGCGTATGAATATTATTCTTTGTTAGTCATTTCTGCTATTTTTCCCATGTGTACATGTTGTCTGTACGTTTTTTATGAAAGATTTCTGATGTAAACTTTGTGGTTGAAGACCAAATTTTTGTGTTAAACATTAAGAAAATGTTATTTTAACTTCTTCTTACGTTGTCGGTGATTTAGTGCGATAATGATTTCCATAAATCTACCACTTCAAAAACGAGTTAATTTATAAATAAATAAAAAAAACAACAAGAACGGTACAAAATATCAATAAAATACAAAATACCCTAATAAAAATACCAAGCAATACATTCTATCGTCTTCGTCCCAAATGTTGTTGTTGTTGTTTTTGTTTAAACTCGTGAAGATGTTGAAATCGTCTGCCGAGTAAGTATATGCTTCATGTGTTTGTTATCAGGTGTGATTTTTTTTATTTATTGCAAATTTTTGTGTAAGATGTTTTATTTTATCTCAGTGTAGAAAAAATAAATAAATAAATTTTATTACAATTCCAAATAAACACTTCGTAGAAATAAAAATTAACAAAATTCGCATTCAAAAATTTCCCATTTTCACTGTTGACGCACTGACAATGACATTAATTCTCCACCCACCCTCACAGCCAGTACCGAGAGCAACCCTCACACCAGCCACCGACCAACTATTACCTACGACAACAACATCAACAACAACATCAACAACAACAACGACGACGACAACATCAACAAAACCGCTAGACTTTTTCCATATGCCGCGATACAGACTTCGCAATCGTTACAATTTTGATCTGCATGAGATTGTCACGGAAAGGAAACTATTGGAGAAGCAACTCCTAAAACTGGAGATATTCCTAACTCGCCTCGAACAACTAATACCACCGAAAATGTATGCAGACGTCGGTTTTGATGGATATGATGATGTTTTGGAAGAAGAGGACAGCAGAGACTTTGGAGTTGGTTATTATCAGCGGTATCACCAGCATAGAAATGTTAGTACCTCTGGTATTTTAATTAAATTTTTTTTTTATTTTTTCTTCTTCTTTAAGTTACACGTTGTTTTATTTTTAAAAGATTAATTGTGTAATCAGCATTTGAAACTTTTCTTATTGTTTTTTTTTCTCGTTCAGCATGTTCACAAAACTTTTTTAAACGGTTTTTGGGTTGATTTTTATGTTTGAAAATTTAATCTGCCTAAAAAAATATCATTGAAGTTTTTAAGGATTTTACTTGAGTTACTTGTTAGTTTTTTTTGTATTTCTGTATTTATACATCCGGTCACTTGTGTATTATACGATATTTATAATACTATCCACCAATGCTCACTTATTGAGTTACTCTGTCACTCATTCATTCATTCATTCATTTACTTAGCATCTCTCATGTTTTCACTAATTCAATCATATATCTCACTCACTCACTCACTCACTCACTCACTCACTCACTCACTCACTCACTCACTCACTCACTCACTCACTCACTCACTCACTCACTCACTCACTCACTCACTCACTCACTCACTCACTCACTCACTCACTCACTCACTCACTCACTCACTCACTCACTCACTCACTCATTCATTCATTCATTCATTCATCCAGCCCCACCAGATGATTAGTGACGGGGAATACCATAGGGCGACAGCCAATCGAGGTGAGACGGTATGTTTTCGTGCTGTCTTAATCATATTAATGATGATGATGATGATGAAGTTGATGATGATGATGATAATGGTGGTGGTGATGGTGGTGATGATGATTATGATGATAATGATAAAGATGACAAAGATGATGATGTTAAGAATGATGGTGATAATGATGATGGTGGTGGTGGTGATGGTGGTGATGATAATGATAAAGATAATAATGATGATGATGTTGAGAATTACGACGATGATTATGATGACAGTAGCAACGTTCTTGTTATATTATTGACGATGATGTGGTGTGATTAAGTTTAAGATAATGAAGTAGATGATGGTGATGATAAGGATGCTGACGATGACGACGACGATTATGATGATGGTGACAATGCCCTTGACGCTGACTAACCATTTTGAAATGGTAAAAAAGAAACTCATTAATGATAATTAATGAATATGATGGGTTGATGAATCTGGTAAATCAATAACAACAACAACAAAAGCAACAATACTATTAATAAAAAGAATAAGAATAATAAGAATGATTGTTATCTATCATTAGATATATATAAATATATATATATATATATATATATATATATATCATGGTATCAAATTTATCCTCACAATACTTTCAAAACGATTGAAGTTTTTGGATGGTATGTTAACATTGCGAAAGATCAATTTTCACTCTCTTTGATCTGACTGATTGATAGATATATCTACTACTAGCTTATACAACATCATGTATTCGTTTTGTTTCTTTTAATTCAACTATTATTATTCTTCTTATTATTATTCTTCTTATTATTATTTTTTATTCACATGTTATTATACTATAATCTCACATTTTAAAGATTCAATAACAATAATAATAATAATAATAATAATAATAATAATAATAATAATAATAATAATAATAATAATAATGGGAACTCTTTTATTTTTTCCAAAAAAGGGGCGAAATAAATATTCAATGAAATAAAATAAAATAAAATAAAATAAAATGAATTAGTCTACGATGCTCGCCATTATAGATATAAAATGCGTACAACGAAAAATGTAATCAGTCTTAATATAGTTATTATACATTTGAATGTCTGTCGCTATAGATGGCGTATGATGATGATATTACTGAATTAGTTAAATCAGTCATAATGATAATAACAATAATAATGACACTAATAATGATGATGATGATGATGATGATGATGATGATGATGATGATGATGATGATGATGATATTGGAAAGAAGTTATATATATCAGTTTAATGGTTATAATATAATAATAATAATAATAATAATAATGATAATTATAATAATAATAATAACAATAATATCGGTGCATATAGCAAAGAAATTCTTAAGTGTACGTATTATTGATACATAAAACTATTACATTGATCTAGCAGAGGTGAAAAAACATCAGATAAAATATATCACAGTTTATTATCATTTTTCTTTTTCTTCTGCTTCTTCTTCTTTTTCTTCTTCTTCTTCTTCTTCTTTTCTTCTTCTTCTTCTTATCATTATCATTATTTTTATTATTTCAAGTTATTGACCTGCATCATGTTTCGTTCAAGAGCTGTTTACCTAACTACACATATGCATATGCATGATGATACACCACACATCTCAAATCATTTCACGCTTCTTAGAAGAAGATGGCTTGCAAATGTTACATTATTATTATTTTATTATCATTATTCTTTATAATTATTATTATTATTACTATTATTGTTACTGTTGTTGTTGTTGTTTTTATCATCATTATCACAATTTTGTTCTATAATAATTTAATGTTATTTGATTAATTTGAGATCCGAACGTTTTTCAAATGATTTGACTAAGTGACAAATGTATAGGACATATAGGACGAAATAGACAGAGAAAGAAAGAAAGAAAAATTATAAAGAAAAGAAAAAGAAAGAGGAATGAAACAGAAAGAGAGAGAGAGAGAGAAAGAGAAAAAGAGAGAGAGAGAGAGAGAGAGACTGGTAAAAAACAAATAGTAAATGATTGAGATTTACTGTTGAACAAGGTCACGCACAATACAATACGATACTTCGAATGGTTGTCTTGTTACGGTTTTGATGTATATGTGTGTTTGTGTGTGCGCGCGTGTGCGCGCGTGTGTGTGAGGCTTTGTATGATGTCATAGTTATTTGTTATCGACTTCATCATTGGTGTTGTCGTGTTGTCATCATCATCATCATCATCGACTTCCTCATTTTCAACATCATCATTTCTAACATTTCCAGACGTGTTTCGTTGTTCATCATCATCGTCATCATCATCATCATCTCTTCATCATTGTCACTGCCGTTAATCTATCTCTCAATCATCATCATCATCATCATCATCATCATCATGCTATGCATGCATCAGAGTTTGTCTATTTCATCATCATCGTCATCATTTTTGTTATCACCACCATCATCGTCATCATCATCGTCATCATCATCGTCATCATCATCGTCATCATCATCGTCATCATCATCGTCATCATCATCGTCATCTTCTTTTTTCTCTTCCTCTTCCTCCTTCTCTTTTTTTTCATCATCATTACCATCATCATCATCATCATCATCATCATCATTGTTGACCTAACCAACATTTTCGGTTGCGTCACCATCTGCATGATGTGATAATTTTGATTGATTGAAGATTCTCTCCACAGTAATAACATTCAATTACTATTGATACATTACCTATACTTCAATTACACTACTGTTACTACTACTACTACTACTACTACTACTACTACTACTACTACTACTACTACTGCTACTACTACTACTGCCACTACTACTACTACTACTACTACTACTACTACTACTACTGCTACTACTACTACTGCCACTACTACTACTACTACTACTACTGCTACTACTACTACTACTACTACTACTACTACTACTACTACTACTACTACTACTACTACTACTACTACTACTACTACTACTGTTACTACTACTGTTACTACTACTACTACCACCATTACTACTACTACTACTGCTACTACAACTACTACGTTATTTCTTCATCATCATCATCATCGTCATCCCCATCATAAGTGTCCATTTTGTTGTCATCAATAATTTCCTTCTGAGTGACGTCATCATCGTCGTCATCATCGTCGTCATCTTCGTCGTCATCATCGTCATCTTAATTATCATGGATATTGTTGTTATTTATATTATCATAATGATGATAGTGATATATTTATACACATATATATTTATTTATTTATATTTTTTACCAATGCCTCATTCGTTTTTATCTTAATGTTTCGTTATTTATGTTACCTTTGTTATGTATGCAACATAAAAATACATTAACAAACAAACAAACATACAAACATACATACAAACATACATACGAGCAAACAAACATACAAAAATAACAAACAGAAATATACAAAAGTACAAACACAAAATCGAAAATGAAAAAAATATAAGACGTGGCGTCATTGAAATAGAATGTCTGAACATAACCGTAATAATGTTAATATTTGTTTAACGTGTGTATTTGTATGTGTGTTTGTGTGTGTGTTTGTGCGTGTGTGTCTATGTATGTATATGTGTGCTTGTGTGTGTGTGTCCTGTTTTTTAAATGTCTGTGTGAATTTTTTCATATATTTTAGTTTAGATATTTATACATATGTTTGTTTACACTTAAGTACTTTTTTGTTTCAATTTGCGGTGTGTATGTATGTATATGTGTACAGTACATATGTGTATGTATGTGTGTATGTTTTTATATGTGTACAGTACATATGTGTATGTATGTGTGTATGTATGTTATGAATATTTGTATATTTATGTGTATGGTTGAAGTAAACAACCTTGATTTTTATATTATATAACACAGGTATAATGTGAGTGCAAGTGATTTGTTATCTGTAGATAATATTAATGAAATTGAAACAACCAAGAGAATTCCATAAAAGACAAGCAAAATGGTTAAGGATTGTTCTCAGATGGCTGAAGTACTTGGAACTAACAACTTTGAAGTAGAGAAGAGTACGTTGTTATTTGATCATGTTACTCAATGCCATGTACAGTGTAGATAGAAGAGGTTTTCAAGAAATAGCAAAACTAGATCATCGTACAATTTGAGAATGAATTATTGGTTTACTAGATCATAAAACATTTAGAACGGTTTGCATGAAGATGTTATCAATGTCTCTGGAGTGAATGGCTTTAAAAAACTATAAAAGTGGATTTTAAATTCAATTGGAAAGCTGGTTTATGATGTTTGAACGATCACTTTGCTGAATGTGGTCAATGAATGAGAATATCTCTAGCAGATAATTATCATATTCTTGGACTAATCGCCCTGTCTAATGTAGTTATGTTTATAAATATTTTGTATTTTTGAGTTATGTATAGTGTTGATAGAACTCTAGTAGGCTATAGATTATTTCTAAAAAAACAACACGCATAACATCACATCATGCCATTTTGAGTTGAGTGTGGCTAATAGATTGACTGAGATTATCAAATATTATCTCCGTCTTATTTTGCTCCTTCGTTTCTGTTTATCGTCATCATCGTTGTCATGATGAAGATCATTCGTTATCTTATTTTCTGTATCATTCTACTCAGTATCATTTCCATTAATAACGTCGTCATCGTCATCAACATTGCATTGTTATCGACATTATCACCATTCTCTTCATCATCAACATCATCATTAACATCATTTTCATCATCATCTTTATCATCATCCCTATTAAAAGTGAGTGTTCTGTATCGATGCGAACTGATACCATTATAAAAAAAACCGATCCAATCGAGCCAACCAACCAACCAACCAACCAACCAACCAATCAACCAACCAACCAACCAACCAACCAACCAATCATACTGACAAAACAGAAACATACTCACCTATTAATTATAGACAGAAGCGCCTATCATTTTAAAACATTTATAACCATCATAAAAATATCACTGGATATCAACAAAATAAATATGGGTTCCTTTTGCATTATGTGTGTGTGTGTTTGTGTGTGTGTGCGTGAGTCTGCGTGTATGTTTTCTTGTTTGTATGTTCAAATGAGTTTCTGTCAGCGTGTTTTTGTGTATGTTTATGAGAATGTGTTTATATATGTGTGTATTAGTAGGTAAATGTGTTAATGTTAAAAATGATGCATGGAGCTTCTGTTGCTTGTGGTTGCTGGGTTCGATTAGGAAGAGATTCTCTCCCATCACATGCAATGCGTTCGTTGATGTTCAAATGCATCTTTTTACTGGTCTCTCCAAAAATGCTGGGAAAACTTGTCAAAAAAAAGCAACATGGTGCCTAAATGAGTTCTTAAGCTGAATGATATGAAAATTCTGATCCCACCTTTATTTAATTTCATGAATGAATGAACGGACGAGCCAACAAACGAATGAATGAACGGAAGGAATGAACAAATGGATGAAAAAATGGATGCATGAATGAATGAATGTTTTATTTGTTTACATTTTTTAAAAGTTTTCACTCGGTAATATGATGCTTGTGCACTCTTTAATTTATCGTCGTTTTGACGCTTTGGTTTTTAAATTTGTCAATAATGAAAATAATAATAATAGTAATAAATAATAATAATAATAATACATTAATTGTAATAAATTGTTACCGACCTTTGTTTTTATCAGTCCTTCATAATATTTTTTCACAATTTTTTATTATTTTCACGAAAAAAATTATCGTGGGTAAGATCTGCAGTTGCAGGAAGCATTAGTTTATAAATTATGCTTTAAAAAAATTTGATATATTTTTGAGAATTTAATTTTTTCGTGATTGAATCTCACTTTTCTATTAATTTAACAATTCTTTTTCATTTTTATCTATTAATTGATTAATTGTCGTAGTTAAAATAATATTATTTGTAATAATAAAAGTATGAAAAGTATATCACGTTTCCATAATTAATAATTATTATGTTATCACTTATATTTATAATACTATAGGCATAATTTTTAATAATTTTCAGAACTCTCAGATGTTCAGAGATTCGTATCCTGAATATCAATCTGGACCACCTGGTTTCCCGGTTCCTATTTTTTCTATGTGTGTGTGTGCGTGCGTGCTTCTGTGTGTTTGTTTGTGTCTATCTGTGTGTGCTTATTTGTATGTGTCTACTTGTGTGTTTCTGTATGTGACTATTTATATGTGTTGGTATTCGTTTGTGTCTTGCTGGTTTTTGCTTATTTAGCACAATTACTTGACCCTTAATGAGTTAGCACCGATGATAGCGTTTCTATGTATGCCTCGATTCGAGTCGGTCCTTATGCGCGCTGACTTGGTTCGAATACTGTTTTTTCCAAAACTAACAACCATTACACCATAACGACCGTATCACGCGGAGTTTGCACGTAGGTACGAATATTTTTTGATGTAACCAAGGAAAATATGAAGGCAACTCTGCGTTAGACAGAACTGAAAAAGTAGTGGTATTTAGTGTATTTGATAGATTATTTAAAGAAGTTGTGAGATTAAATATCATTTGTGAAGTTCACCGAACAAACACAACAGGGTACTCAAGGTAGGACTGGATCTCCAGGGCCGGTAATAAAAATTTTTAATCTTAAATTACTAACACAACCCACTAAATACTTTATATTTATCATTCAATTTTTAAATTATATCAGTGAAATTTTCCAAAAGTCAAAATTTGTAATTATTAAACAAATATTAAAAATGAACTGACATAACAAAAAAAATTTCAGCCCGGACCTCGTGGCCCATCAGGAGATTCTGGAATCCCAGGGACATCGGGAAGTCCAGGTTCACCGGGACCCCCTGGCAATCCTGGTCCTCCTGGACCACAGGGACCCAGAGGTCAAGCAGGAATGCCCGGAGTTCCGGGGCAGGCTGTACGTTCAGTTTACTAACATTTGTTTTATATGTACTGTGTAGCGTTCACATCGTATTTTATGGTGTACGAACGAGTTTATTCTCAATGTATAAACCTGCTTAATATCCGAATAATTTTATGTTGTATTCATCTAATTCAAAGTTTCGCATATTTTTGTGTAGAATTAAAAATACTATTGTGTTTGTTTTTTATTGATAAATTCGAATATCCTTTCTTGTTAGCAGTAAAACACGTTCACAGTGAACAAACAACACGTCTCGTTAACGTCAGGCGGATAGCAAGCAACCACCCATCGTACAAACCCATCCATTCAATCCACGATATCTCACAACTAGCGCAACAAGCGTGCACCAAGTTCATTGATAAAACTTAAAATGAGAACAACATCGCAGACAGATGAAACATTATTTCATTGGAATTTTGATTCAATTTGTTTTCATTTCATTTAAAAATGTCTTTCTTTTGATTCTTGCACGATAGGCACGTATGCACACAGTAGCTGAAGTTAAAGAAATATGTGCTTACGTCTTGCAAGGTTAACATCTGCTGATCATTTTTTCAATTTAAAAGTTCTTACATAACATTGCCGTGCTATGTCGCACGTGTAAGTAATGTGTAAGTAATGTGTTATGTACGTTATTGTGAGTTGTGAGCGTTCAAATCAGTTCAACGTATTCACCGCACGGTTGCTACACTCACTATAATTAGCAATATAGTCAGACACACCCGTTGAACGATATATTAACCACTATTAAAAAATGTTACAATAATTTACTTATTAAAATTTATCTAATTGCATTAACTAATCAAATGAACGATGACAGAACGAATGCACGAACTCTCTCTAAACATGAAGGGCCCGCCAGGACCCCCAGGCAAGGGGGTGCCAGGAAGGAGGGGTCCTCCGGGAAGGCAGGGAATTCCAGGTCTTAAAAAAATTTTTACACTCAAATTAATGTTTAAAATCTCATTTTTACGTTTAAAATATTTAAAATGGAAAAAATCATTAGTTCTTATTGAGTCAATTTTTTTTTGAAACTTTTCAAAGGTGACCAAGGAGTGCCCGGATTACCAGGGGACAAAGGCTTGATAGGTCCAGTGGGACCGCAGGGTCCGCCGGGAATTCCAGGTTCCAAAGGTAACCCACGTTTCAATTTTTATTTTTTACAATTTATGAAAACCAATTCGAATAAATGAGCAGCATTATTAAGCGTGATGTCGTTTCATACTTTGGTCTGACGACGTTCGTTTTAGTCGTTATTAAACCTGATCTCCCAGGAGCTTTTTATCATTTAGTTGCAGCCGCTAATTATTTCAACTCACTACTTGTCATTTGAAACATCAGGCGATAAAGGTGACCAGGGACCTGAAGGTGAATGTTCATCAGAATATGACCTCAAAGAAGTTGAAGCAATGCCTGGCCCACCTGGTACGCCGTCCTCTTTCATCTTCTGAATGATGTTTTGTATATTTTTTCATGAAGCAGAATAAGTACGTACGTTTAAAAGTTTAAATGTAACAAACGCTTCTTGCATTCATTCGAAACATCATTGGCATTAGCTTCTTAAAAAGTCACATGTTATCTATGACCACGCTTAGCAAGACGTGTGACAATTATGCGCCTAATCAATTGGACCACGTCTTTGCAAAATTTTTAAAATTTGGACTCGATAAATATGCTTCAGGGCCACCAGGACAACCTGGAATAGGCCTGCCAGGCAATCCGGGACCACGTGGAGAGCCTGGACATCCCGGTATTCAAGGCCCGCCAGGAAACGTTGGACCCCGTGGACCACCAGCCCAATGCCCAAGTAATTGCAACTACGATCAGTACTTCCAACTACTGCAGCAAGCTCAAGAATCAAGCTGAAACAACGGTTCAAGCGAATGACCCGAGAGAGAGAGAGGAAGTGGGAGTGAAAGAAGAATTGGGGGCGAAAGAGCGGAAATTTGTGAAAGAGAGATAGAGAGAGAGAGAGAGAGAGAGAGAGAGAGAGAGAGAGAGAGACAAATTTTCAATTTTTATGTAAAATATTTTTTTGCATTATTAGAATTTTTCTCGTTATATCTATTTAGAAATTTTTACGATTAATTTTTTTTCTTTTTTTTAAGTCGATGTTTTTTTTATTAAAAATTTATTAACGAAATAATATCATAACTGAAACTTAATTTTGTTGTTGTTGCAGACGCTTTTAACAGCTCTTACCCTCCACTGTTACGCTAGTTGTCGCATGTTATGTTTCATAATATATAATATTTATTATTATTATTATCATTTTATTATTATTATTACCTGTTGATGTCATTATTATTATTATTATTATCATTATTCATACGAACTTAGATGAAGTCTTCTAGTGAAGCTTAGCAATATGTGTGTGTATGTGTGTGTGTGTTTGTGTGTGTTTGTTTGTGTGTGTGTTTGTGTGTGTGTCTGTGTTTGAATTGAATGTAGCAACTCTTCTCAAAATGAAAAATAATAATAAAAAAAAACAATAAAACAACAACAATAATAATAATAATAATATGTTTAAAAACGAACAAATATGCTTAAACCTTTTCTTAATCAAAAAAACGACCCTACAAATACTCGTTCTTCATAAATTTATATTTATTGAATGTATAGCTGTGTTATAATTAATGTCTTGTCTTTTTATTTTAACCATTTTATGTCATAATAATCAATAACATATTTACAGAATATTAACTACTCATACGAGCTGCACACACACACACACCACACTCGCACACACACATAAATACACACACTCAAATAAAGTTAATACGAGTGCCTTATTTATTTTTAAAATGATTAAATACGTTTGACTGGGCGGTCTGAATGCTTTCATGTTTCGTTTTTTGATTTAACATCAAAACTACTCTCAACATTTTTTAAATTTTTATTTATACAAACGAATTCATGTTAAAAAACAAATCTACTGAATAATAAATGAAAAACATTTATACAAAATTATGTGTGAATTGATAAATTGATCAAATAGCTAATATTTATTATTCATTATTTATCTTGCATATTTTTATCAAGAAAAATAAAAAATTATATCGTTCAAGTCATCTTTATTTAAGAACCAACTAACCATCTATTTTTTTAAAACATTCAAAAAACTACATTCAACATACTATACTTACTATATACAACACTCTGTATAACAAACGCACCACTAACCAAGTTATAATAATAATACAAGTCAATAACATGAAAAGATATAATCTTCAAAATACTTTTTAGTATAACAAATCCAAACCCAAATTTAGACCCCAAACTAAAAAAAAATAATAAACGTTATATATTTAAAAGTTTCCTATTCCGCCAGAGGACAGCGTTCTCTTTAGATCTGTAATCATAGGTAAGTAGATGAGGCTCTTCGTCACAGATCTCCTTGTAAGCCTGACACATCCTGTCAAAATCTTCAACATGGAGTGAATATGATCTGGAGTCTGCATGCACATCTGCCCTTGTTAATAATCGCCTTGTTAAGTCTGGTCGGTCGGGTGGGAAGAGAGTTCTAGAGGTGAAAGATATAATTTTGTAAAATTTAATTCAACTTGCTTATCTATAAAGACCAAAAAAATTGCGATCAACAATTTGTTGTTAGGTTGCCTTCAATAAAAATCGCACAATAATAAAAATATACACATTTTAAAATGAAACTAAAAAAAGTGAATATATCAAATTTTAGAATCATTTTTTTCATCGATTTATATGTTTGAAAAAATCATAAACTACATAATTTTCAATAACAATAGCTGTATTGTTACTTACTCGATACCCTTTCGACACATTTTAGGTCGGTAGTGAAAAACGTGTCTGAGTAGTTTCTCGACATATTCAAAGGCTGTCAATATCTGTGGAGTTATTCTGGGTGTGAACTGGACGACCCCAACATCCACGTCGGGCGAGGGGACGAAGGCTTTCCCTGTTATCGTGAATCTGAGTAGAAGTTCATTTTTGAAAATGATATATAAAATTGGTGACAATGATAATTGGCGAGTACAACTGATAATTTAGCATCAGGAAAAAAAATGGAAGCCAACTTGTGTTGTACATCACACCAGTTTTGACACATGACAGACAGTCTGCATCTCTGATCATTCATCACAGGGGCAACCATTCTTTCCGCAATCTCCTTCTGAAACGTCAAGGTCAGCCTCACTCTGCCCCTACTCCATGCGCCTTCTTTCCTCGAAATTTCCCTCAACCACCTGATTATGAGCGGTGTGGAAACACTAAACGGCAGGTTGCCAATTATGTGCGCGTTTGGTGGTTCTTCGGACCAGTCTCTGGAGATCTCTGGCGGAAAGATGTCGTACATGTTGAAATGGAGGACATCTCCGTGGTATATTTTCATTCTGTTGTGCGAAGCTGCATTCAGTTCCTGGACACACAAAAAACAACACACTGCTCATTTCCTTGTATAATTGAAAATAGTTTCAACAGATATGAAAAAAATTTTAAATTCTCTCAAAAAGTAGAAACAATTATTAAACTGCTTTTAAAATGCAATAAGCACAATGAACTCAGGTTAAAGTATGTATGTGTATATTTAATATAATGAATATAACACATCACTTATATAAATACATCACTTTTACACTAACTGAATATAATAAATGCATGCATATTAATATTAATTGAAAAGTAATTTATGTAGGTAGAAAGGAGAAAATATGACAAAATTTATTTAGTCATAGTCCTTATTTATAATATATTATAATATTATATTCATATTGCCATTCTCACTTCAAGAGTTGGAAAAAATCGATCATCTTTTTCAATAACGGAGAGATGAGCAGCTCCGGCCTCCAGAATGGCACGTGTCAGTCCACCTGGACCTGGTCCAACTTCACAAACGTAACTGTTCTTCAAACTACCTGCCGTCTTAATGATTCTTTTACACAGATTGTAATTTAGTATAAAGTTTTGTGAGAGCTGCTTCTTGGCTCTCAATTTATAAAGTCTGACAACTTCCTTGATGGCAGGTAGTGGAGGTAGTTTTGCTACAAATGCAACAGGGGTTGACATGATGGTTGGTTAGTTAGTTGGTCAGCCAGTTACTAATTTTATTTTGTACAGACTGTTCGTATTAAAGTCCGTAATGATGTCAGGTTCTTGATATTTTAATGAAATTCGTTAATTCAACACTTATTCAAACTGGAAAACATTTTTAAAAATAAATGTGTAAACAAACATAATCGCGTCCACGAAACAATAAAAAGAAAAACATTTGACCTAAGTTAACATTTAGCAGCAAAGATAAAATAAATGAACCGGCAAAAACTAAGTTGAAGGTTATATCAAGGGGAGGCCTATTTACCATTAAACAACACTTTCTTATGGGTTGAAGCAGGGATATGCAAAGAATCTCAATTTTTGCAACTTTTAATTATTTTCGGTAATGTCGATTTTATTTGTTTAAATTTAAACCAAATAAAAATAATTAATTACCATATTGAATAACAATTTAAAAAATAAAATTTTAACATTTTAAATAAAAGCAATATTCCGTAATTAGTAAATATACTATCGTAACTTTTGACTCGAACCTCACCCTCCATCTCCCCTCCAGAAGTAAGCTCCTTGTTCAACCGTTGAAAGTGAGCGAAGGCCGTTATATTTATTCTAGTTATATGTATCAAACAGTATCTTATTGAACAAAATAGTATCATAAAATAAATAAAGATACTTTTTTTTAATATAAAAAATTCTTAATTTGATTTCATTGCGATATCGATGATGATGATGATTGTGACCTGACTAATTAAAAAACATCAAATAAAATTTATAATAAATTATAAATTTGAACTGCGTGCGCACATATGTAGCACTGATTACTGTTGCGTTTATAATGAATTTATATACTATATATATATATATACAAAGCGAGCAAAATTTAATTTAAAAGCGCTTATAAATCTATGCATATTAGCTCAGCTTGGCTCGGCTTGGCTCGGTTGGCTTGAAATTGGATGTTAAGCAAGGTGTGGTCTCAAACTATTTGGAATTCTTGCAGAAAAATTGGAACTGCGTGCGCACATATGTAGCACTGATTACTGTTGCGTTTATAATGAATTTATATACTATATAGTCTATATAAAGCGAGCAAAATTTTAATATAAAAGCGCTTATAACTCTATGCATATTGGCTCAGCTTGGCTCGACTCGGCTTGGAATTGGATGTTAAGCAAGGTGTGGTCTTAAACTATTTTGAATTCTCCCAGAAAAATTTGCGCACATATGTAGCACTGATTACGACTGTTGCGTTTATAAGGAATTTATATACTATAATATAAAAAGCGAGCATAATTTTATTATAAAAGCGCTTATAAATCTATGCATAATGGCTCAGCTTAGCTCGGCTCGGCTTGTAATCGGATGCTAAGCAAGGTGTGATCTCAAACTATTTTGAATTCTCCCCGAAAATTTTGAACTGCGGCGTACATATGTAACATTGATTACTGTTGCAATTATAATGAATTCATATATATATATATATATATATATATATATATATATATATATATATATATATATATATATATATATATATATATATATAAAGTAACTAGAATCCATGTATACAAATAATTAATAAGATTAAATGTTTTATATAAAAAGCAATATAGCAGATTCAGCCAGCCAATCAGAAAATTTCGAAGGCGTTCGTTCGATGACGTCAATTTAGTACTGTTGGCATTGTGGTTAAGACTGTATAATACTGTAGTACATACATTAAACAAGTTTGTTACTGATGTGAATGATTGAAATGGTGAAAGTGTATGGTTGAAACGAGTATAAATAGGAGCTGAGAAAACGTGAAAATCAGATCAGGCATTCTGCCTCGCATGAAGCAGTCTGCCTGATCTCATTTATATTATTTTTTTTTTATTTATTTTATTATATAGAGTTATATAGAGTTTGCATGCCTGTGGTTTGTGTGATTGTATGTTGTATTTTTTTATATTTTAGGTGGATTCTTTAGCGGTTGCTCATACATACATACATACATCATGTTTGTTTGTGTGGTAGTATTTTATGTTCTGTTTTACTCCTTTTTCTCTTTTTTCATGAGTCTTAAGTTAAGTTAATGAAACATAGGTAGGTGAGGTAAAAATTAATTTATTATATAGGTAGGCTAGGGCATAAGGTAATTTAGTTACATAGGTAGGTTAGGGACTTCTTTTCTTTTACTCTATTTGATGGTGTGTTTTTTGCTTTGTTTTTTTTGTTTCACATCATACATATAACAGGTACGCGGTAGTTCCTGGTTTTAGTGGGATTTTTATTGATTGAATGTGGTGGTATGTATGGTTATATAGAGTTATATAGAGTTATATAGAGTTATATAGAGTTATATAGAGTTATATAGAGTTATATAGAGTTATATAGAGTTATATAGAGTTATATAGAGTTATATAGAGTTATATAGAGTTATATAGAGTTATATAGAGTTATATAGAGTTATATAGAGTTATATAGAGTTATATAGAGTTATATAGAGTTATATAGAGTTATATAGAGTTATATAGAGTTATATAGAGTTATATAGAGTTATATAGAGTTATATAGAGTTATATAGAGTTATATAGAGTTATATAGAGCATAAATCCTATATAGATACCTTTCTTTGAGGTTCTTTTCTTTGCCGACCGGTCGGCTTCTTTGCGTTTCTCTATTTTCATTTAAATTAATTAAATAAATAAGATTTTTCCATTAATTTAGGATCATTCAGGTTCATTCATTCAGGTTGAAGCTTCCATAGGAGTTTATCGTGGAAGATCAGAATGGTTGTGATGTCACGCTACGTTTGTTCATTCAGTGGCAAAAAATGCACGCCTGGCTGGGGTTCGTTTTACGGTTTCTTTGCGGTTCCTTTTTGCCAATTGGCTGGCTTTTCCGGCTGGCGGGTTTCACCGCGGCTCGTTTCTCTATTTTCATTTAAATTTATTAAATAACATTTTTTCATTTCATTCAGGTTGAAGCTTCCAGAGGAGTTCATCATGGAGGATGTCAGGCTACGTTCGTTCATTCAGTGGCAAAGAACACACGCCTGGCCGGGATACGTTTTATTCTTTTTTCTCTGTTTATCTCTGTAATTTAACATTAAGTAAGAATGCTCACACGCACACACATACACACACAAATACATTAAGTAGCTTTATAGGTAGGTTAGATAGGCATAATTTTAATTGTAGGTAGGATAGATAAGAAGCATCCAACACTAATGTAGTTGAATAGGTAGGTGCGTAAATTTATCGCTTCTATTTTTTCTTGCACCCACATTACACGCATCAGCGTATTACACACACACACTCAAATACATACATAAACACATATGTTAGTATTTGAGCGTAATTTTATTTTCATTACACATTCTAATTTATTATTATTAAGGTTGAGAGTAATTTAATTTTATAGGTAATTAAGGGCAATAATGTATTCTAGGAACAATCTGTA